TTTTTTTTGATAAGAAACAATTTCATTGATGGATGAAATTACAAAGAAAGAAAGGAACGCACAAAAAAAACAAAGGAGTTACAAAAGACTTCCCCAATTGGTTAATAAAGAGTTCATACTAAATGAGTGAAAATAGGGGGAAGTTTTACACCAAGACATAGCATGAAAAGTAATATTGTCAAAAAGATTGATGAAAGGCAACTCCTTGTCTAGAAAGAGTTTATGATTCCTTTCATTCCAAAATGTCCGTAGAAAGGCTCGAATGAAGTGCTTCCACATGATCCCTTTAATTTTCTTGAAAGGGTGGCCCACTAGAACAAAAGTAAGCAAGTCTTGGATGTCAATGGGGAGAACAACTGTCCAGTCAAATGCATGGAGGATCAAGTTTCAAAAAGCCTTGGCGAGAGGGCTTGTGTGAAAAATATGGGAGAGGGATTCCCCATCTTTTTTACAGAGTATGTACCAATGTGGGGAGAGGACCATGAAGGGTAATCTTCGCTGCAGCCTATCTGATGTGTTGATACCCTTGTGGGCAAGTTCCCAAATGAAGAACTTGGTTATTTGGGGTATAAATCTTTCCAAATGGCTTTAGCAAGTGCTGAATGCAGAAGAGATCTCTTTGGAGCCATGTCAATGAGAAGAGAGTTGATGGAGAAGGAACCATTTTTGTCTAGTGGCCAAACCCATGAGTCCTCACCTGCAAGGAGGGTGGAATCTAGTTGATTGGATAGTGTTGCCCAGTCTGCTATTTCCTCTTCCTTAAGAAAGTGCCTATAGCCCAAATCCCAGAAATTAAGATTTGGGTTTCAAATCTCTTTTACAGAGGCTGTTTATGTATGTATATATGTATATTTATATATGTATAGATGTATGTATATATGTATATACGTATATATGTATGTACACACACACATATATCTATATACATATATATATTTGAAAAAATCATGAGAGATGTCCCTGTTAATTTGTTAAATACATGAATATAATTTGCCTTTCTCCCAAAATTTTGAGCGACTTGTATGCATATTGTCGAAATGAGAAGATGTATTTAAAGGTCTACTACACGCTATTTATAAATTATTTCTCAAGATATATCTACATTTATTTAGAATCTTACTGTTTGAGGGAGTCATAATTAATGTTTGCGTGAGGTTCTCTCTGATGAAAATGGAGGTAAAATTGATTGGAAACCACTTTATTGCTGAATTTTCACTCTAGTCAATCCCTTAAATAATCAGATTATGTTATACTAGATAGGGTTGGTTTTATCATTAAATGTAGCCAGGAGTAAGAAAATTAAGGGAATTTATGATGACTAATAAGATGTATCATAGAATTCGCCTGTCATCTGAGTTGAATTTTATTAGGTATGTGCATCATGATTAATGTCGATATACATATTAGTGCACAAATGTAATAAATCCATCTCTAGGTTTCTTTAACAATTCTCTCTCCTCAACCTTACCCCCCAAAGAAGACCCATTGTACTGCTTACTCTTGCAGGTTTACTTATAGCTTTTTATTTGATTTTGTATCAGGTATCTTAACTTCTAAAGTACTGCCTACTTAGAGCAAAAGTTTCTTGAGCTCTAGAACCTGATATTATTGGTTGAACTGAAGTTTTATACATAGTTGTGGTACTTATATTCAGGTTATTAGGTTATTATGGAGTGCAACAAAGATGAGGCAGTTAGAGCAAAGGAAATCGCTGAGAGAAAATTTACAGAGAGAAATTATTCTGCTGCAAAGAAGTTTATATTGAAGGCTCAAAATTTGTACCCTGGACTTGATGGTCTCTCTCAAATGATGACAACTCTCGAAGTGTATATCTCTGCAGAGAATAAGATAAATGGGGAAATGGATTGGTATGGAATACTTGGTGTAAATCACTTGGCTGATGATGAGAATATTAGGAGACAATATAGGAAGCTGGCTCTTGTCCTCCATCCTGATAAAAACAAGTCACTTGGTGCCGAGGGTGCATTTAAATTGGTTTCAGAGGCCTGGAGTTTGTTATCTGACAAGGGGAAGAGATTGGCTTATAACCAGAAGAGGGATTTGAGAGGCGGTCGACATAAGACTCCTACTCACACTCATAGTACTTCAGTGCCGCCAAGTGCAAATGGCTTTCAAAATTTTAATAATGTTGCTTCTAATGCTAGGAATGTGCAAAGCAAGGTCCGGGTAGGGCCCACCTCATTGCAGTCTTCTCATAGAAAACCAGATACTTTTTGGACTCTTTGCAACCGGTGCAAGACACATTACGAGTACCTTAGAGTCTATCTAAATCATACTCTCCTTTGCCCTAATTGTCATGAAGCTTTTTTGGCTGTAGAGAAGGCTCCACCTCCAAATGTGTTCAAGTCACCTAGTTGGTCTTCTCAGCAGCAGCATCAAAATTCTAAACAGCATAGTGTTAGTGGCAATGTGTATGGTACTGGAAGAAATGCTAAAAATCCTGATACTGGGCATTCCGTGGGTGGCAATTCAGTTGATAATACAAACTTTCAGTGCGGTCCTTCCTCCAGGGCAGCTGGTGTTGGTAGCAATTTTTCATCAGCTTCCGCTCATTCTGCAAATGTGGTTCAACAAGCAAGTGAGAAAGTGAAGAGAGATCGTGATGAAACACAGCTATCGGCTGAAGAGAGGAGCCACTTGCCTTCTTTGAAAAAGAAAAGAAATGATGACAGAATTAGCAGCTATGGGGTCCACATGGCAAATCAAATGGCTAGAGGAGATGGATCAGCTGGTGTTGGTTTGCATGAATCAAGGAAGAGTTATCCTGAAACTCAAAAGTTTCATGGTCTTTATGGTCCATTTATCAGGGCCAATAGCCAGAGAGAGTTGTCAATCTTTGAAATTCGAAACATGCTAATTGAGAAGGCTCGAACTGAAATTCGTAAGAAACTTGAAGTATGGAGCTCATTAACTGAAAAATCAACTATGAATAAACAGTCCAAGAAGCAAAAGAATGCGGCGAGTGACGAAACTCATTATGTAAAGGTTAATGGTAAGTCTTCTGCAAATAGTAAAGGATGGCATGACAGGAAGAAGCCTGAGTCAGGTTCTTTAGCTGATAATAGTACAGGCAGTGAGAACGTACCTGTTTCAATTAATGTTCCAGACCCAGATTTTCACAATTTTGACTTGGACCGAGCTGAGAGTTCATTTGGGGACGATCAAGTTTGGGCTTGTTATGATGATGATGATGGAATGCCTCGTTTCTACGCTCGAATTTACAAGGTGATTTCCCTAAGGCCATTCAGAATGCGTATCAGTTGGCTCAACTCAAGAAGCAACACTGAGCTTGGCCCTATGGACTGGATAGGTTCAGGGTTCACAAAAACCTGTGGGGATTTCAGGATTGGAAGACATGAAACCACAGGATCATTGAACTCATTCTCACATAAAGTTTGCTGGGTGAAAGGTTTACGAGGGGCAATTAGGATATTTCCTCAGAAGGGGGAAGTCTGGGCGGTTTACAGGAACTGGTCTGTGGATTGGAATAAAGATACACCAGAAGAAATGATACACAAGTACGATATGGTAGAAGTGCTTGATGATTTTAATGAAGACCAAGGCGTGTCTGTTGCTCCTCTTGTTAAGGTTGTTGGTTTCAGGACAGTGTTCCGTAAGCACATGGATCCAAAAGAAGTGAGGAAGATCCCTAAAGAAGAGATGTTTCGCTTCTCCCATCAGGTCCCCAATTACTTACTTACGGGAGAAGAAGCTCAAAATGCTCCAAAGGGTTGCCGGGAATTGGATCCAGCAGCAACACCTTTGGAGCTCCTCCAGATTGACACAGAATCTAATCAGGCAACAGCAGGGGCGACGGTGGTAAAAACTGAAGAAGAGATATCTCATATTAACCAGGAAACTGTAGCTAATGAGGTGGAGGACAGTTTGGAAGCTAGGAGAGTAGAAATAGTAGCCCAGGACGATGAACAAACTAAGATATCTGATGATGTCTCCCAGGGTAGCTAAGGAAAGCTGTCATGGCAGATGATGCCAACAAAAGTAAATCAACTAAATGTGGAGATTGCTCGAGGTATACCCAATAGGTGCATTTTTTGAATTCTGTCTGACCAAAATTGTAGAGAATTTCTTGCTTTTGTTTGGACTGGATCCATAGTTGCTCCAATTGTTTATTGGTTTTGTGGCGTTGTACTTGGGACAGTGGAATCTCTTTAGTCTTATCGAGAAATTCATCGATGATGACCACCATACTTGGGACAAAATTGAGATCCAACTTTTCTCTAATTACTTGAAATTTTTGAGGGTCCAGTTATATGTGGCTCCTTAGCACTTAACTGATCAAGGCCCAGTACTTAAATGCTTCATTTAAGGCCCACGTTTATACTTTTGGTTCATATTCCTTTCTCTTGTAAGGATCGTTTGAAAAGTGTTTGTTATCTCTTCCTTTTACAGTATCTTTCAGACAATATGCAGAATGAGAGCTCCATCAGTATATCTCTTTTTGTTGGTTAATGGCCTTTTCCCCTTCTTCCTTGCTGGAACTTAGACTTACAGATGGGGGTGATTAAGTTGAAGTAAAAATTTAAAGGTACACACAAACCAAAATTAGGTTCAGAAAACCTTCTTATTGAGGCAGTCATATATTCTCTGTCATTTCTTCAGGATTATAGTTATTGGCATTTCTACCAGAAAGAGCAACTGTATGGGTATGTCCAATGATTTTCATGTACAATATGTACATATGGTTGCATACGCATGTAATAGTCGTCAATTTACATACAAATTTATCTATGCATAAATGTACTTACCTGTAAACTATTCATGTGATTGGTACAATATAGTCTAAATCTATGTTTTTAGTTTCTATTGGATGTTTTTTCTATTAAATCTCTGTGGTTTAAAAAGTTCCAATTTTAGTCTCTTACGTTTTAGCAACTTTCATCAATATCCTATCCATTAGTGGAGGTTAAGGAGGGGAAAAATGATTTTTTATCAACATCCTAGAATTTAGTGAGGAATTAAAATTTTTCTTCTAGTATAATTGAAACATGTTAAAACGTAAGGATTTAAGTTGGAACTTGTTAAAGAAATAGGGATGAAGTTGAAAAAAACACATATTTTTACCCTTCAACGTACATACACACCCACATGCCTCCTGTCTGTGTACATCCAGACGGGGAATTTATGAGCTTTGCAGGTATGTTTCAATTCAATTGGCTTCTTGGGGGTCGTACGGAGGGGAAAAGGTAAGAGCATCTTAAAGGATAGCCAACAGGCAACCTTCAGAATAAACTATTTATCTTCAGCTAATAGGAGTGGAGGAATTACATAATGGCTCTGTGGCAAAATATCTTTATGTTTGTGACTGCATGTGTTGTACTGCCTATCTTTCTTTATATTAGTTAAATACCAAAATCTTCCTTTAGTACAAATTATGACACGTATCAGTTTTTGTTGGGCACTTTACACTAGTAATCACATGGATGAAGATTTGCAGGGCTTATAAAAATTGATACTGATCTCACTAGTTTGTATCTGATTGGTGCTGTGAACTGGAGAATTGATACTTAATCTTTGTGCGTTATAGTGATTGTCCAATTAGTCACAGGCATGAGAATCATAGAATGCATAGATGATTTGTTGCTTCACATTTTCTATATGATTGCAGAGACAAGTAGTCAATTCAAATCCAGTGTTGTAGATTTCCTTTGAGCGAATCAGCTATCTCTTTGGCTTGAATAACCAAGTATTGGCCACCGTGTTGATAGCATTTTCTCTGCCTTTTTCAATAGTGGCTTGTTCTCATCTGTGCTCTTAATTTAATATGTTATTCAGCTTAGATTTTTATGCATTTGCTGTATGTGGTAGTGCTCTGGTAGCTCTCTTTTGCTCCTAAATAATACATGCAATTATTCGTTCAGCATCCATGCTAATTCATCAAAATCATTCAGGTGTCGATCTGAATCTGAGCATTATGCAACTAGTTGAATCATGTATCATCGACCAAAAGGTTAAAGGTTTGAATCTCTAACTCACGAACTAAAAAAAACCATTCAAACCAGGCGTTGAATATTGTGAGAATTTGTTTTTTTCCCTTCTTTTCTGCATCTTATAACAAAATAAGGCCAAATCATTTACATTTGTATCTTTGGGAATGCTGTTGCTCTTTAGTTTTATTAGAAGAATTGCACTGGATCATTCTATTTTGGATTGTTGCATGTATATTATAATGCTTCTCTCTCTCCCTTTGATATTACTTTTTTGATACTTGTGAGAGTGGAATTGCTGCACTAGTTTTTGTGGAAATTAGAGATTGACAGGTGGCTGACATGAGGAATTTGAAGTACAATAATGAAAGGGTTGGATTTTTATTGTTTCTTATTATATATTAGTGAAAAATGCTTCATCTTTAACTCTGGAGAATGGTGCTTTTAGTTCTGGTTGGAGAAGAAGAGTGAGGATATATGGCAACCTCCCTTTGTCTGGGGAGCCATGCCTCCAATTTCTTGGTAACATTGATATGACCATCCCTCTATGCATTAAAAAAAAGTAGGGTTTGGTTGTTTTTTTTAGCTGTCCTTTTGAATTTTTTTATTCAATTTTCTAAAGCCATTTTGATATTTTTGGCAATTCCGATTTCATTGGTGGTTACACTTGCCATGGTGGGACCTACATCTAAGGTATCTTGTTTATATGAGAATTTCAGGACGTTTGGTTTCTTTTTCTTCTTTCATCTGCCTAGATACTTATGAATGATTAAAGGAATCCACGACTGACTTAGTTTATTGGATATGACATCTATCTTCATATCAAAGATTGATGGTTTAATTTATTATCGGCAATGACATTCTACTTTGTCTCGTGGAAATGTCTACAAAATATAATTGACAAAATATCAGTAATATTAGTATAGATAACGGCAGCATATAAATATTGACAGAATATCAGCAATATGATATATATAATTGTGACAATTTATATTTTGTCTAGTTTTTATGTATTAATTCAAATAAATTTTTTTATTCTGGATTTAAAAACTTTTTTTGGGTCTGATGACATGTGGTGGATCTGTGATAGTCCAATTTTTTTTTCTCTCTTTCCGATTGTTGCTCGTCTTCAAAGACGACAACCAAAGAAAGGGAGTGGTGTGAAGAAGAAGATAGAGAGGGAAGCGGCAGCTTGGTGCAAGTAAGAGAAGAATGAGGTGCGTAAAATTTTGTTTTCCAAACGAGAAAATAGATGATGTCACCAAGAAGAAAAATAGTATATACTAGTATATATTAAATAACATATTGGAAGTATATTATTATTATACTATAAATTAGATAAAAAGATATATATTATATACCCTGTTAATTCATTATATAACAATAGAAAGTATATCTTATATAATTATTTGGAGAAGTATATGTTTATTCATACCGTATATAAGAATATTTTATTAACGGTTGTTGAAATATATTATATAATCTAATAGTTTAGTATATACCAACAAAAAGTATATTTTATATAACTTTTTTAAGAGTATATATTTATCATACTATTGAAAAAGAAATACACGCCGGAAAAAAGAATAATAAAGGGAAAAAATAATTAAAATATTTTGAAGGAATATATGTTTATCATACTTAGAAAAAATAATATACGCTGAAAAATTCAAACAAGAACCGCGAGAAGATTAAACAAGAATAAATTTGGAAATATAAAATCTGTATAAATAAATGTAGGAATATTTTGTCTTAATTGAAAAAACACATCAATAAAAATAAACAGATGGTTGAAATCAGAAGAGAGTAATATGGTCCCAAAAAATGTTGGAAATTTAAAAGTGAAAAATTTCATCTAAATTGATTGTAAAATAATGCTCTAACAGAATTGCTGTTGTATTCATTTACATTTTGATGGACATCCTAGATTATATCAGTAATCTTTCAATGAGTTTTGTAGCATCAACTTTTCCCCACTTTCATAATTGGACCTTTTTTTAGAGACTTTCAATTGGACCGCTATCTCTTTTTATAGTCCCAATTTTATTTCCTACCATTAAAGATATTTAGTTTTTTATTATATAAAAAATAATATGCAAAATCTCAAACCGAACATAACTCAAATGATTAAGGCATCTATCTCAAATGAAGAGAGTATATACCGTGTGAACATTAAGGTCTCATTTCACAACCATTTTATCTTTTGTTTTCTGTTTCTAAAAATTAAGTTTATAAATACCACTTCCACAAATGTGTTTCTTATTCTTTTTTTTTTTGGTAACCTACTTTTTGAAAATAATTTCAAAATCTAAGCCCAATTTCAAAAACTGATAGAAGTAGTTTTTGTTTTTGACATTTGGCTAAGAATTTAAATGTGTTTTTAAGAAATGTGGAAAACGTACCAATGAAATTGTGAAGAAGCAAATATAATTTTTTAAAATCAGAAAACTATAAACAAAATCTTTATCAAATGAAGGCCTAATTCTTTTTTTTTAATTCAAAAATAGAAAATTAGTTTTAGAAATTAAAGTGGTTTATAAAATACACAGATAAATAGCCTTGGACGGGCGCAGTGCCCTTAAATATAGGGGAGAAAGCTCTTACTCCTAGTTATAAAAAATAATAATAATAAAATAAACTAAAAGATACACAACTAGATATTATTTTGATATCTGTACTTTCAACTTTGATTCATTTTGGTTCTTATACATTTAAATTTTGGTCATGTACTTTCAAATTTTGTTCATCTAAATCAACGTACGTTTGTTTTTGTCATCGTACCTTTAAAAATTGACCATTTTAGTCCTTATTTGTTAAATTTAACTAAAATTTTATACACATTAGAAACCTTTTAATATAAATATATGGCTGCATGTCAAGAAATTTAGTGAGTGAAATATCATGTCACAATTTTGATCAAAATAAATAAGATAGAAATGAAAAATAATCGCCTTTTAAAAATACAAAAACTAAAATAAATATTTTAGGAGTACATAGACCAAAATATACGTTTTAGAAGTATAAAGACCAAAATAAACCAAAATCTTAAATTCAAAGTACGGAGAATTAAAATAGTATTTAAACTGATTTAAATTATAATTTGATTTGAAAATAGCATAAAACTTGACCAAACAAAGCAATTTTACGAAATTAGCAAAAAAATGGCTATTTTCAAATAAAAGAATTATGTAGGACATTAAAGAAAACAGACAAATAAATATCTCACTCAAAAGAAAATATCCAACTGCATGGGCTGCAACTGTGTCAAAACGGCGCCGTCTGGGCGACGGTTGCAACTTCAATTAACTGCCGACAAGAAAAGATTTTTCTTTTTTTTTTCAGTTAAAAATAAAATTCAACTTTCTATTTTTACCCAACGGTTAAAGATAACGACGAAGCAAGTCAGGGGCAAAAGCGATGGCATCGGACGTATTAAATGAAAAATTCAGGGGTAGTTTTTGGGAAACAAAATTTGTTGTCATTAGCAAGAGATTAATTAATATACAAAAATAGGAAGGAAAAAAAAAGAATAGTTAATAAAATTAATAAATTAATTAAGAGAGAAAAATTATATGAAGCGGTGAGAGGAGATGGAGGAGAAGAAAAAGCTGTTTGAGGCAGAGTTCGGGTCGGTCGTCTATGGCGGTGAGTCTCCGGTGGCCGTTTCTCGGTGAGGCCAAATCTCGTTTCCGTATCTGACGGCGATTTTCTGTTTTCTGAGAGTCTTTTATGCCGGCGATTGGATCTTCCGGTTGCCGGCGATTGAGGGGGGAGTTGGGCAGTATAGGTTGATGTGATGGTTTGACCTTAGTTTCATTGTTTATGGTTCTACACAGAGAAAGAGAGAGAGAGCTGAATTTTTGCAATTTTTGGTTAATTATTAACGAGAAGGAAGGAGAAACGAGGGAAGACAAATTGGTTTAGCTTTTGCGGTGGTCTTTGATTTTGTAGCGAGAATGAATGGGCATAGCTCAGTGAATCGGAATGGGAATGGAGGAGGATTCAGTAACGTGGAATGGGAGCTCATTCGGAGGTACCACAGGAACGAGCCAGCTGAGAATCAGTGCACCTCTCGGCTCGTCAAGCGGATTAAAGCTCCTGTTCATCTTGTAAATCATCTCCTCTCTCTCTCTCTCCCTATCCATTTTAAATGTCTGTTAATAAAGATGACTTGGTCTGGTTCATTTTTTGGTTTAATGTGCGTATTTGTCGTCTCTTCGGAGACATCTGATGTGCCTAATTGTCTTCTTCCTTTTTTTTTAACCCTGTTTTACTTCTCACCATAATGGTCTAGACGTTCTCCATTCTAGAGGATGTAGCCGATTGGTTTGGCATCAATAAGTGCTGTGTCAATTCATAATTTTTTAGATTGGCTTAATTGTTTCTGTTGGTTTCTGGCATGGCATTCTTGAATGTTTATATTGAAGTCTGAATGTCTATAAGGTCAAGTGAACGGATGGCATTTAATTTGAGATGGAGTTTGGCTCCTCCAGGTAGTTTTTGCAATAGAAAGTGAGGGGTTAGTTTTACACTCTACCAACCTCTAGAAATAAGTGTAAAGACATTGTATCACTAGCGAACTATGATTGCTTTATGTTTTCGTTTGTTCTATCTCTGATCATATGGAGGGTTTTAGGAATTATTCAAACTGGAAAGTGAACCATTATAGAAGGTTGTACGATCCTATTGAATGATAAAGATTATCGTAATTTGTGTTATTTCTTTCATGCCTTAGTGAATTGTTTTCTGAATTGGATTATCTCCCTTCAGGTATGGTCTCTGGTAAGGAGGTTTGATCAACCACAAAGATACAAACCCTTTGTTAGCAGATGTGTTGTGAAGGGAAACCTTGAGATAGGGACCCTCAGAGAAGTTGATGTGAAGTCGGGGCTTCCTGCCACAACAAGTACAGAGAGATTGGAACTTCTTGATGATGATAGACACATCCTTAGCATCAAAATCGTTGGCGGAGATCACAGACTCAAGGTACAGGTCTCAATGTATTTTTAGTCTCTATTTCATTTGGGAATTCCATAGTCCTGATATTGGCTGAACATATGCGATTTTTATCTATCTTTCAAGGTAAAAACAATTGTCCTAGGTGTTCACAAACCAAAGTAGGTGTTCATTTTATGAGAATATTTTGTGATATTTATAATTTTCTGAGCCAATCATATCCATACTGATATTTATCCTTCAAAGTTTGGAGCCTAAAATGATCCAAATGTTAATCTAACTTATTTACAATGACTTCGAATCAGTAGTTTGAGAACTGTGATTTCATATAGATCAAAAGGAATAACTATTAGAGCATTTCTTATTGAAAGTGCACTATCACCTATAACAACGAACCCTTTTGTGGATTTGAGAAAAGATTTTATTCAAATGTGCTTTTTATAGTCATTTGTGCCCATGGATAATGCAGGGGATTTCCAAGTTTAAGCCAAGTTTGAATATAGTTTTTTATTATCCATGTAATGTCAACTATTTGTTGTGGCATGTGCTTTGGGTACAACCGTACAAGAATGATGAGTTTCTCATGATACCATTCGTTTGTCTGTCTGATTAAGGGTTTAACATGAATCAAAGCTCTACCATGGCACCAGCTTTATGATTGATGAATGAAACTGGAAATTTTACACAGGCTTTTTGCTTCTACTATCATCACTTATCGGTTTCTGTACTAGCAATTAAAGACTCATAGTTCTTACTTTCATGCTTGGGGATGCCTAGTTAAAGGCTTCATTTCTCTTTCTCAATTGGGCGATCGATCTTTTCTATGTGACTAAATCAGTAACAAATCTAAATTACCGAAATCTTTCTTTCAGAATTACTCTTCAATCATATCCCTGCATCCAGAAATCATTGATGGAAGACCAGGGACTCTGGTAATTGAATCATTTGTGGTGGATGTGCCTGAAGGAAACACAAAGGATGAGACTTGCTACTTTGTGGAAGCCTTGATCAAATGCAATCTCAAGTCACTTGCTGATGTTTCGGAGCGGCTTGCAGTGCAAGATCGCACTGAGCCTCTTGATAGGATCTAAGAAATGGGAATAGTAACCGTGTGATGCATGCAAGGGCTTGCCATGAATGAAGCTTCCTAGGCTCTCATATCTTGGAGGCTTTGGAGATGGACTGGCAAGAGGGGGTATATTGTACACACATTAGCACCATCTTGTATCGGTTGATATTATTTTCGTTTTTATTTAAGTTCTGCAAGTCTTATCTAGTACCTGGAGCACCGAGGGTCTTGTAAGGTTTGAGAAACTCTTTGAAGAATTGAGCTACTTAGAGAGAGAGAGAGAGAGAGAGATAGAGCAGAGAGGGACAGAGAGAGGGGGAAATCTACATTCCTTCATCTGATTTCCAGGGTTTTGTCCATGGTGATGTATGCTTATTTTGCTGTGTATATTTGTGATAGCAATGAATGGTTTCTGTATATTCGCTTCCCTCTCTGTTTCAGTTTTACAAGCAACAGTTAGTTGAAATCTGATGAGAGGCTATGTTAACTTGAGGTAATGTAATGCTATTTCTTGGTGGTGTTCTGTGTTGTTTCTCTGCTGTCTTCACATCACCACAGGGTATTTCTGACGATTTGACATCAAAAAGCTCCCTGTGAGCTTACACACACATGCATTACTATTTACTACCGACTTATTATAAATCCATCTATCTGCCAATGTCCCCATCTTCCCTCTGAAGAGTGTGTAATAATGTTAGCTTTGTTGCATTTGTTGTTGCTTCTACTGTACATACAGATTAAATTATGATGGTCATCAGTGTCAGAAGTTCATGCATACATTATAATGTCCAAGTTTTTTAATTTATATTAAAAACTATGTATTGGAATTATTTAGATATCTGGCGAGGGTGAGACATTCGAACTTCCTTCAGAAGGGAGTGGGACAAATTGTTGCGGCTTGGATTTATGCAAAATATCAGGCTAATTGGCAAGTGTTCGGGTCAGAGTAGATATTTTTGTGGGTCCAAGGTGCAGCTCTCTATCTAACCAAACCCAATTCAATTCACTTGACCTATTTTTGCAGGTGCAGCAATATAGATTCTATGACATCACTGAAGCTTTTCTCTCTCCATGAATCTGTCAGGTTTCTGGGGGACTGAATTTACACCATGTTGTCATTACAAGCCTTGACGCTCGGCTCGATAGCAGCAAACTGTGAGTATTTACTCTCTTTCTAGCTTTCTGTCCTCTGAGGCGTGCAGAATCTAAAGGGACTGATTCACAGCACATATACCAACAAATATAGATACTTTGGAACACCCGACAGTGGAATAATAATAATAATAATAATAATAATAATAATAATAGTAATAAAAGAAAAGTTTCAAACAAGTTATAATTCTAAACATTCATCTTGGTGTTAATAATCTTTTTACCCTACATAAGAAAGAAGAAAAGTGAGAACACCATGATTAATCTGGCTTTATTAGAGATCTGATAGTTAAATCGATATCAAAGAAGAATAGATTTTATACAACAGTAACATTGATGACTGAACATCAAAATTACGTGTGCTGTCAGAAGAAAAAAATGTCAAATATTACAAAGCGTTCTTCCTGAAAAGAAATATATTAAGAAACTGATTGTTGTGTTCAAAAATTCGCCCCACTTGTGGAAAGTGGCAATAATACACAATCTGCCTGAAGAAGTTGCTAAGAAGATCCTACATTTACTATCTATAAACCCATCATATGTATCGGAATAAATTATAAAATATCACCTCTCTTTCTTGGTTGATTCAGGTACTTTACAGTGATGGCAATGGGCTGCTGCAACGTCAGTGAACTTCAATCAAGCCAACACAAGATCCCCTTGTTCTTCTTCTACTTGTTGGTCTGGCAACGGCCCTTCTCTACTATAAGGAAGTAAAATCCTCTTTATTTCTTCTGCATTGAGTGTCTCACATTCTAAGAGGGCATTTGATAGTGCATGTAATGCCTTCTCATGCTGAAAACAAGAATGCCAAACATTAGAACTTCAGCTAAAGTTGTGTTAAAATGTAAGACAGCTGATGTTTAATGTATCATTAAGGGATTGAGATTGTGTACCGTTTGGACAACTTCTTTGTAAATTTATCCCATATTGATTAGTACCGATTCTTGGACTTTTAAAGTTGGTTATTTTTGGATTTTAATGTATTCTAACCTAATTTTTCAGATCTGGTTTTGTAACATGAAATCCATATTTTCCAAATTGTTTTATGTGAAAAAGTATTTAAAATTAGGTAGATAAGATTTGCTTAGTAATTAGATGGATTTTAAATCCTTGTATAGGATTTTAGAATTTATTTTAAATATTGGTTGTATTTTAGGCTTCTAAAAAGGTTCACAAGTATTCAAGGAAGAAGTTATTTTCGATAGAGGTAAGTAATTTGTTGCATCTCTCCTAGAAATATTATAAATTTGTAAGTAATTTTCCATATACCTTCTGAAAATTTGTGATTCCCACAACTTTCAAAAATGGAAGATTTATTATGGTTTTGATAAGTATTTTTTTAAATTGACCTTTTATTTATTTATGAAATATTTTAAGGTATATTTGGTATGATTTGATAAAGTTTTATTTGGAATTATTTTTATGTTTTGAAGTGGTTTACTACTAAAGTATATATTTGTGTTGCACATCTTTTAAAGATATTTTAATTAATTCGATAGGGCTATCAGGATATGCGATTTTTGTTTTGAGAATGTTTGCTTATTAGGTTTAATAGCCTAATTTGAAATATGGATTTCTGTTATGAGTCTCCGACTTATTTGTGGGAGGCACTTTTGTGGTTTGACATTCCTTGGGAATGAAGATTCATGTGTGTGTTATTCACTCACGTGGTCTCACATTGAAGTAATCATTTTGATTGTTCTGGTCATATTAATTACCACATTGAAGTAATCATTTTGATTGTTCTGGTCATATTAATTCGATAACTCTGATTGAAGCTTCTGATTGATTGATTGGTGTTACCAATAGATAATCATATATGATCTGTAAGCTACCCAAATAATGCATCTTCCCATTCTGATTTTGGAAGTATGAATGAATGAAAGTTTGTTTTGCATGATTGAATGATTTGATCTCTTGAAAGTTGCGATGTTTGTTTTATAAGGACTTTCGTAACTCCGTTTTGTTTGTATTTCGTGTCGTTTGTTTTGCAGGAAAAAGTGAATTTTAATGTTTGATATGAAAATCACTTATTGAGTATTTTTGTATTCATTTTTGTTTTCTAAATGTTTTCAAATGGAGGTTCGAGTGAATGTTCGGATAGTGATCGAGGAATAACATGTTTTGGTATGAGTTATAAATCTTTAGTCTTTTCAATATTTTTGTTAGATTAGGAGAACTTGGATTATGAGAACTTTATATCATTCTGCTAGTTATTTTTTTTTGTCATAATATAGGTTTTCTGTTTCGAATTTGGACTTGTCCTTATCTTTAGTTTTTAACTTTAAAGTTTAATAAAGAAGTCTTTCCTTTGATATAGTGTTTAATTATTTACACTGCTGCATTATTATTTAAAATGACCATATTAGAAAATAAGGAGTTTTACACTAACTAGCAGACCTATATTCTCACACATTCTCTCCCCTGGCCGTTGTGGCTATAGGCCTCCAATTCTCCTTTTTACCCCTTCTAGCGTAGGTACGAACGATAGGGGCCTTATATAAACCTAATGAGATCCCACGTGGACTCCAGGGACCTCTCCATACCTTTAATTACGATCCAAAGTGTTAACCTTCCCATGTAAGACCTGCCACCCAGAATTTAATTTTCTTTGGAATTTTGACCTCCTAAAGCGAAGCGAACACTCTACGTATGGAACATAGAACTACATGAAACACCCCCTTAAAATGGCTTGGGGACCAAACCCGAATATCATTTACTCCCTCACGAATATGAACATCTGAAAGCAAAAGGAGCAAGGTCGAAGCCTCCATGGACTCTATCTGTAAAGGGACAAAGAAGACCTAAAGAACAAGAAGGCGACGACAAGGAGCACCATGGACTCTATCAGTAAAGGGACAAAGAAGACCTAAAGAACAAGAAGGCGATGACCCACTGTCCCTCGACTCTAGAATCGAGGCTACTGAATCTAACCTCTTATTGGAAAGGTGGTAAAGACGAGGGGATAAAAGACAAAGAGGATTGTCTCCCACCCAAAAGTCCTCTCAAAAGTAAGTATCAGAACCATCCCCAACAAAACATCTCGAGCGGGAAAAGAAGGGAAAACTAGATGAGATAGCCTTCCAAGGATTTCTAGCACAATTCAACTGACCACCTGCGACTTGCTTGCGATAACCTTTCACCACAGGGCGTTAGGCTCTTGAAAGAACCACCATAACTATTTAGCCAACAAGGCCTCATTCCTTAGCCTCAGACTCCCAATTCCCAAACCTCCCCACCTCAACAGGATAGTATCGAAAATTTCAAAAAAGTGATTTTAACTGGTAAAAAAGTACTCTTAAAATTTTTAACCTAATAATTAAAAAAAACACATTTGGACCCCATTTACTTTTATCAAAGTTCAAATGTTAAACGAACCTCCTTTAAGAGGGCTTTCACACGGTCATATGCATCTCTAAGGAGTTTAACCACCTGTAGAACAAATAATACAATTTCAGGTTTCAAAGGAATTTGCTTGGCCAGATCATTCAAAGGGCAGAAGGTACCAAAAACATACTTCAGCATCGATACGGGATTGCAGTTCTGAGCTCGGACGTTCTTTGATATGAACCGGTCCAATTGCATCACTCATCCCGCAATTTGACACCTTCATTGGTATTCAAGAACAGCATTGAGGATAAGAAATAATGTAATAGTTTTAGAAACACAATCTAGTGAAGTACCATATATTGGGCAAGTTCTGTAGCTGTGTGAAGATCACTACTTGCTCCAGTGGTGATATGGTCCTCCCCAAATATGATCTCTTCCGCAACTCTTCCTCCCATACAAACGTCGAGTCGTGCTAATAGTTGCTTCTTGCTAATAGATGTCTCGTCACTCGAAGGAAGCTGTGTGACCATTCCTAGAGCAGATCCACGAGGCATGATCGTTGCCTTATGAATTGGATGCGCACCCTCGGTATTAAAAGCGACAATTGCATGACCACTCTCATGATACGCAGTGAGCTACAATGAGAGATGTGCATCATCAAGCATCCATATACTATTTGGGAAGATAAAACATCATTTGTCGATGAAAAACACTATCTAAATGTAGTTGAAATAACTGAAAGTGCTAGTGACAAAGAAACCAATTTCTTCAGAAATTTATACCTTCTTTGACTCTTCTGATAAAAACATTGTTTTCCTCTCAGTACCCATAACTATTCTATCTTTTGCGAATTCCAACTGCGTAGAGTTCAACTTTTCTGCACCTTCAACTGCAGCTTTAATGGCTGCAATGTTCACCAGATTTGCAAGATCTGACAAGGAAACAAAAGTTGGTTGCTAAGAAAATTCAGCAAGAAAAGGAAGATTTAAGTCGAAAGAATTTAAGCAGTTTTTGCGATAATAGTAGATCAATAGTAGATATATTCAGTGATGTATTTTATATTAGATATATTAGTGAACTTTAAGATATGTATTAAGTATATCAATCCATAGTACAAGAATAGTACATTTTCAAATTATTTTTCCGTGTAACAAATTTGGAAATATTACAAGTAGTTTTGTCACCCATTGTAATTTTCCATTGAGTAATCATTCCAGATACTTCTCTGTACAAATAAAAAATTTTGCTTTCCTATTAATAAAAGAATTGGAATAATCATACTTAAGTTACACACAAGTGAAGACTTACCAGCCCCATTAAATCCTGGTGTACCTCGAGCGATTGCTTTAACATCTACATCATCAGCCAATGGTTTATCTTGTAAATAGAGCTCTAGAATCTCTTGGCGACCGCGTACATCAGGGTTCGGGACAACAATCTACAAATAGCTGTTTGTTAGTTTTAACTACTGGAAGAAACTATAACAGTATAGAAAACGGATAAAATTCAAATATTGGCTTAGAATGATACAAATCCTGCTTTAAATAAAGTGATTCAATATAGTCCAAAAGCACTATAATTTTTCTTGAAGAGAAATAAAAATTTCAACTAAATCAAATATCAATAAACGTCACTATAATTTATCAACTAACTATGATACAAATCACTATTATTCAAAGAATTCTGCACTTCATTAATAAAATGTCTCCGACTTCTCTAAGAAAAGAAGGGGAAAAAAAAACTATGACAGCTTCAAAGGAACTTACATGCCTGTCAAATCTACCAGGCCGTGTCAAAGCTGGATCGAGAATATCTGGCAAGTTCGTAGCAGCCATCAATATGATACCCTGCATAAAATAAAATTAAAACCGACCCCTTAATGGATAAGAAAACTCACAAATGCAGCAAAGTGTTTGGATGAACCTCATTCTGTTCAAAGCCATCCATTTCAACAAGCAGTTGATGCAATGTTTTTTTTGTGTGGCCTTCCCACTGTTTTCTAGTGGACCCAACAGCATCTATTTCGTCGATAAAAATGATGCAAGGAGCCTGCAGAGGATGGGGACAAGATAAATAATACAATTGCACTTGGATGGATGTTTTCACCCTAAATCTGTCTATCGATCAGACATTTCCATTTTTTATTTTTTATTTTTAATATAGGAAACCAAGCTTTTAATGAAAAAAAAAATGAAAGAATATAGGTAAACAAAAAACAAGGAGTACAAAAAAAACAGCTTGTCAAGAGGACCCAAGCCTATAGTATGGGGCTCCAATCCAAAAGAATAACATCTAACTTGATAATTACAAAAAAACCTTAGAAACCTCATATTAGACATTTCTTTGAGTTTACATGCCCCTTCAAGTTAGGTGATTAAGCCCTCGTTTGAAGACTATTAGCTTTTGATTTTCAGTCTTTTAAAGTTGGGCTATAAACACTATTTCCACCCGTATTTCTTTATTTTGTTATCTACTTTGTAAAATCATTTTCAAAATCTAAGCCAAGTTTTGAAAACAAAAACGAAAAAGTAGTTTTAAAAACTTGATTTTGTTTTGTCACCAAAATAAAAATAGATAGTTGATTTTGTTTTTGAAATTTGTCTAAGAATTCAAATATCTTTATAAGAAAGGTGAAAAACATACCAAAGAAATGGTGAGGAAACGTGCATAATTTTTAAAAATAGAAAATTAAAAACAAAATTATTATCAAACGAAATCTAAGTCATCACTAAGAGAAACAAACCTTTTTCTTGGCTGCTTGAAATAATGATCTTACACGCCGAGCACCAACACCAACAAACCTGCCAATTGAAGACATAAGAGTCAGCATCACTAATGCTAAAGTAATGCTCAGATAATCCCACAATCCTACAGGCTACAGCTGATAGTCCCTACTCTACGGTAGACATGCAATGCTCATTTATTTCTTCATTGTCTGTTTGCTTTCTGCATGGTCTTCTCTCCTGTTTGTGTTTGATTTAGCGATTTTCTTCCATAGAAAGTGGATTTGTGGCTTGAGCTTAAGGGGAAGTTTTCTTAAGGGCAAAGCTAAAATCTTGTGGCAATTTGCAGTGAGGGTTATTTTTTTGGATGATTAGGGAAAGAGAGAAATTAGAGGATTTCTGAAGATAAACTTAGCACAGTGGATCATTTTTAGAGTAAATGTAATGTACAACATATTACATCGTGGTAGTGTTCAAACCACAAGAAATTATGTTGTAACTACTTCTTCACTATTATAAATGATTGGAAGACTTTAATGGTTTAGTTCTCTTTTGGGAGGGGATTATTCCTCTCTCTCTCTCTCTTTTTTTTTTTTTTGATATTTCAGCTTTGGTTTCTTGTCAAAAAGAAAATAAGAAAAATAAGAAAAAGAATTAGGAACCAAAATTGAAAATAAAAGTTTACAATTTACATGTATAACCAAACATAGTAAATAAGTTAAACAGTTCAACTAAAGTAGCAACTCATTCACCTTAGTTTATAGGTTTAAATCATACTTTGGTGTATGAAATTCCATATTTTCTTCTTTGGTCCTTAAGCTTTTAAATATTCTTTTTTAATCCCTGCACTTTGCATGAAAAACTATTTTAAACAAGTTTTTGTTAAACATTTGATAGAAATGACACTACAAGGCAAATTCTCGTTAATTCTTTTAATTAACTAGACTATAATTACATGATGACGTTAACATATTCATGCCTCACTCCAACAAGGAAAAAGGGATGTTTTCTAATACAAGACCACCAATACAATAAAAAAATAAGGCTTACATTTCTTCAAACTCGGATCCTGCTTTATAGAAAAATGGTACACCAGCTTCACCAGCGATAGCCTTGAGGACACAAATTATATCAAGTCATCGTACAAAAATAATTAGACGTTGTAGATTGAACAATTAACTAAAAAAGGGAAAAAAAAAGTCTTGTATAAAATTTTCTGAGATGATAAAGAAACCAATACAAAAATAATGATATCATGAAACTACCAAACAAATGAAAAATCCTTAAATATATCAATAGTTTCAAGATTATACACGGCAAGTAAATCTCCATTAATGCATTAATAGGTCAAACCTTATATAATTATGCAAGCATAGATTGTGCTGCCATTTCTTAAAACCTACTCCATATAGAACCTATAATCCAGATTGACTAAAGAATGAAAACACAAGGAGGTCGCTGAGGATTGAGGAATTTGAATATGGCAAGAAGAAAGATAAAACCAAAATTTTAAAAGGAACTAAAATTGGGGTTGCCCTAGCATCCTAAGTTAGTATGAACTGACTTTGAAGTTTTCACTCCATTCAGCTAAGCGGATTGATTTACCCACTAAACTGAATGTAGATGCTCTTAACCATAATGACGATTATTTGGTGAGTATGTTGGACACCTCAAGGGTTTTCCTGTTTGTTTTTTCCACCCTAAATGGCTCCTATCCAAAGCTGGATAAGCACCCAAATAAAACCCTACTAAATTCTTCGTTTAGTCCTTAGATTATAAAAGCCTGAGAATTCAAGAAATAATATGCAGAAAAAGAATCCCTACTAACAATTATGCTCACGTTTGCTTTTACTGATTAAAAGGTAGGAAGACCATGGACCATTTATCCACATCACACTCAGTTTGCTACCCAAGCGTTAGAATGTTATTTTTCAAGTTTTAGGTACGGCCTGGTGCTATCCAAAGGATGTTTCTTCCCTTCTTCCTGAAACTTTTTTTTTTCTTCTGGATATCCGTAAGTGTCTAGGTCAGCTTGCTCACACCTGAAACATTTTTCCATTGGAAATTCTTTTGAAAAGCTATGGTTTTGATGAAAGCCTCTGCTCAGTTTGATCTGTACAACATAACTTTAAATGACTTAGCAGGCCCTTTGCAATTTTTCAGAGCTGGTACAGTATATAGCCTCACCGCTGGAATTTTGTAATATTCTATCTTTGATCAACTAGGACTGGTGATGATTCTTATAATAAACCCTTGTCCCTTATAGGGGGCTCCTTAGCTCCCATGTCCTTTTTGTAAAACTTCCCTCTTTGATGATTATCTCATTCCTTATTGAAAAATCGAAGAACTTGTTGGGTCTTCTTGCAATTCCAAGCCCACAAGTGAGAGAAAGTGTTGAGATATCTATATATGAATTAAATTTACTCGACCTATCAGCTTAAGCTTTTAGGTTGAGTGGTGGTTTATTCATCCTTAACAACTATTTCCCTAATCTGTCTTCTGTGATGAAAACAACCAGGTTAGATCATGAAAAGAAATATCTTTTCTAAGAAAAAAGAACCATCTCGTCATGTCTGGACCTTCTTCTAAAGTACCTACTATAGAGATCTTATGAGAGCGGACGTCCACGTTACCAGTCAGCTGTCAGCCAAAATATTGAACAAATTGTCCAACAGAAGAGAGCAAATGAAAGCCAAAAGTCATGGATAGAACATAGCATAGATGACAGCAATTCTAATAAAAGAACATAATATTTCATATAGGAAAACTGAGTGAAGATTTACCTTGGCAAGTAAAGTTTTTCCAGTTCCTGGGGCTCCTGTTAAAAGAATTCCCTGTAAATAAATATTTTAGGCAGGTACCATGTGAAATAAATACAGCAAAGATCATCAAAATAAGCAAGACCAGACGAAGAACTTCTTGTCAAGAAGTTCTCAAGAGGGAAAAAGTTACTAAAAAAAACCCAGAAAGAAAAGGAATAAAGGATATAGAATAACAAAAGCATCAGACAGCCCATGATTTTCTAATGAAAAAGGTTGCCTTCTTTTTTAGTATGAAAAGAAACCAAAGTTAGGCCCTGGAAGGAGCTCGCATGTGCTCCAACCATGGTTTAAATGTTCAGTTACAAAATCTATGGGTCTCAAAAATAAATAAAAGGAAATGATTCATGGGGATCTTTTTGTGGAACCTCCCTAAGAAGGCTAAATTTTTGTGGAATTGTGCTTCAAGAGCTCTCCTATGGCATCTGTGGTTGGAAAGGAACTCCTGTAGGTTTTTTTTAAGAAGACCATTTCGGTGGTGGGTTATTGTCAGGTTTCTGGTCAAGGATTCTTGTAAGGATTTCTGGGTAAAAATGATAATAAGGAGGTTGTCACTGTGAATTTTGAGGAGATTTTTGTTATCACTAGGTTACATTCTATTTTCCAAGATTTTTTTTTTAACAAGAAACGAACTTCTCATTAAAATAATGAAAATGAACATAAATGTTCAACGATACAAACTCTCGAAAGAGTGACAAAGAAACAAATGCAAAACACAAAAACTAAAAATGGGAACAAAAGCACCCCAATTAGAACAAATAAGGGTAGGAGAATAATTCCCAAAAAGATTAGACATAGAACACCATGGTGATGCTTTAAATTTAGCTATGCTAAACCGATCAAACAAAGATTTACACCGGTCCTCGAAAATTATAAGATTTCTTTCAAACCATAGAAAATTCTTTCTGAGATTAGACATAGAAAATCCGAAAATCCAGTTCAGATTGACATTCAAATCGAGGTAGCCAAAAAGATATTTACACCAAGTAACAACCATGAAAACTATAGTTCAAAAATATGGTCTGTAGTTTGTTCTTTATCTTGAAAGATCCTGACGAAGATTCTCTTGATCAAAGTAAGAAAATCTTAATCTGCCTTTATTAATTGAAGAAGACTCCTATATATAGGGATTACAACTAGCAAAACTAACAAACAACAGTAACTTGTAGTTACCACACGGTAAAAGGATTTAAAACCTACGACTAAGCTTATATCATTAAAGCCTTTTTTAAACTACCCAAAGCCATAAACGGCTACATCAATTTCCCCCACCTAAGAAAAAAAAACTCGTCCTCGAGTTAAGCCGCTAAATCAAACTCATCAGGGGGGTGGAATGGGTGAATATCCGCTACATTGAAGACCGGATTGATATTATAATCGCTTGGGAGGCTAATTTTGTAAGCATTCTCCCCAAACCTTTCCAGTACAGTAAAAGGTCCTATCTTCCTTTTCTTCAACTTGTTATAAGTTCCCACTGGGAAGCGATTCTTCCTTAAATGGATCATAACAAGATCTCCCACTTGGAATTCTTTGAATCGCCGCTTCTTATCCGCAACAGCCTTGTACTTAGCATTTGATATCTCCGATTGTTGTCGAACTTCCTCATGTAGTTGAGTAATTCGAGCTGTCATTTCCTCGGCCTCCACACTAAGATCAACAGAAAGAGGAATATTAGCGAGATCTACAGTTAACCTAGGGAGTTTAGTATATACAACCTCAAATGGGCACTTCCCTGTTGTTCAGTTGCTCATATTGTTGAAAGCAAACTCGGTTTGTGCAAGTGCCATGTCCCATTGTTTTGGACGATCCCCACTAATGCATCAAAGGAGGTTGCCCAATGAACGATTAGTTACTTCTGTTTGTCCATCTGTTTGCGGGTGACTCGTAGTGCTAAATTTTAGTGTAGTATCAAACTTTTTCCATAAAGTCCACCAAAAGTGACTAAGGAACTTTACGTCCCGATCGGATACAATGGATTTTGGTATACCATGTAGGCGTACAATTTCACGAAAGAACAAGGTAGCAATGGAAACTGCATATGAAGTTCTTCGGCAAGCTATAAAATGGGCCATTTTACTGAACCTATCCACAACAACCATTATAGAATCGAAACCTCTTTGGGTTTTAGGAAGACCAAGTACAAAATTCATCGATAGATCCTCCCATATATTTTCGAGAATAGGTAAGGGTGTGTATAACCCCGTATTTTGAGATGTCCCTTTGTAGGATTGGCAAATATAGCATTTATGAACAAAATTAGTAACATCCTTTCTGAGTTGGGGCCAGAAAAACCGAGACATAACAATTGTGATTGTCTTGTCTCGACCTAAATGGCCTGCTAACCCGCCTGAATGTATATCTTTAACAATAGCTTCCCGAAGGAATGTATGAGGAATACATAGGGTATTTCCTTTGAATAAATAACCATTGAAAATATGATAATCAGGTGAAGCTATATGTTGTGTACAATTATGCCAAATATCCGGAAGATGGTCAAAAGCTATGATTTCACCTTTGAGTAATGTAAGGAGGCTATGCTTCCTACTCAAAGCATCGGCTGCTTTGTTGCTACTTCCCGAAGTATGTTTAATGACAAAGTCAAATCTATGTAAAAATGATAGCCACTGTGCATGCATTCTACTAATAGATTTTTGGGTATGCAAAAATTTTAATGAAAAATGATCGGTGAGAAGGACAAATTCTTTCCCTAGAAGGTAGTGTTCCCATTGTTTTAAAGCTCTAACCAAAGCATAGAGCTCTTGTTCATATACTCCACTTTTGTCTTGAAGGACTTAACTTTGCACTAAAATATTCCACTGGATGACTGCTTTGTGAGAGAACAGCCCCTACCCCAATACCTGAGGCATCCACGGATACCTCAAACGATTGGTCAAAGTTCGGTAATGTAAGGACAGGACTACTGCTTAATTTGGCTTTTAAGATTGTAAAGCAGTCGGTTTGGGGTGGTCCCCAAAGAAATGGTCCCTTTTTTAGGCAATTAGTTAAGGGGACAGCTAGAGAACTAAAGTTTCGAATGAATTTTCGGTAGAAGGAAGCAAGGCCAAGAAAACTTTGGACATCTTTTAGAGTTTTTGGTTCTGGCCATTCAACTATAGCTTTAATTTTTTGCTGGTCCATTTTTACAGTATTGTGTCCTATAAGGAAACCAAGAAAGGATATCTCAGATGTGACAAAAAGACACTTTTTAAGGTTTATGACTAGCTTATTAGTGGCTAATACCGAAAAGACCTGATGTAGGTGTGTGATATGGTCAGACATAGATGGGCTATATATAAGTATGTCATCAAAATAGACTACAACAAATTTATTAATAAAAGGAAGTAATACCTGGTTCATAAGGYGCATAAAAGTACTTGGTGCGTTGGAGAGGCCAAAYGGCATGACAAGCCATTCAAASAGACCTTCATTTGTCTTGAAYGCSGTYTTCCATTCATCCCCYGGCYGTAGKCGAATTTGATGGTATCCACTCCGAAGATCTATTTTTGAGAATGTTGTAGCGCCACTAAGTTGATCCAAGAGGTCACTGATGCGGGGAATAGGAAAGCGGTATTTTATAGTTATTYTATTAATGGYTCTACTATCCACACACATCYRCCATGTGCYATCCTTCTTAGGRGTAAGCAARGCGGGCAYAGCACAAGGGCTTAAACTAGGTTGGATGTGTCCTTTATCAAGGAGCTCTTGGACTTGATCGTGTAAAATTTTGTATTCCTGTGGATTCATTCGATAATGGGCTAGGTTAGGCAAGGTAGCCCCGGGAAAGAATTCAATATTGTGTTGAATATCTCTTAAGGAGGGCAAGCCCTTAGGAGCTTCTGTAATGGTCTTGAATTCAAGAAGTAATTGTTCCACCTCGGTTGGAATAGAGTATGGTTGTTCGATAATTCCAAAACTTTTGACTATAAGACCAAGAACAGGCATATCTTTATGTAATATAGTTGTTTTGCCGAGGATAGTGTTAATAAAGTACTGGTTTTTGAAATACCGTCTGTTGAAGGTATAGGTTTAGATGGAGGGAGAGGTAATAAACCCACCCTTTTTCCCATCCAACAAAATTCATACGTATTATCGCGTCCCCTATGGACTGCTTGTATATAGTATTGCCACGGTCTACCAAGTATAATATGGCAAACGTCCATATCCAAAACATCACACACAATTTGGTCCTTGTAACTAGCTCCAATGGACAAAGGTACCGTACATGTGTGTGACTTGAGCCTCCCCACCATTTTTTATCCAAGAGACTTTATATGGCACTGGATGGGGATGTAACGTCAAATTTAATGTTGAAACTAGTTTACTAGCCACAATGTTTTCAGTGCTACCACTATCAATGATTAAGTTACAAACTTTACCATTGATAGTGCATCGAGATTTGAATAAAGCATGTCGTTGGTAAGCTGGTTCGACTTTTGGAGTGAGAAGGAGGCGTTGGACAACGCAATTGGTCTCACCTTCATCAGGACCTATGTATTCAATGTCCTCTTCTGGAGTTTCTTCCTCACTATAATCCGGTTGGTCCTCTTCTTCGATGAAAGTAACAGCTTTTCGTTGTGGACATTCATTCGAAAGATGTCCCACCTGCCCACATCGAAAACATTTGCCCAAGGTTGGGCGGTTATAAGTATTACTTACTTTCTTTCCAACAGTAGGGTCCGTGGTTTTGGTAGCCGGAGAAGTGTCGTTGGCTATTTGTTTTCCTTTGGACGACGTGCTCACAGGTGGTGCGGTAGGTGTGTCCGCAGGGATGGCATTTCTTTTTGAAGAAGCCCCTTGATCCCAAGTGTTTCGCTGTGCATATGTTTTCTTATACCGGTTGTTAATTTGTTCTTCAATAGTTGTGGCAGTAGATATGGCTTCATTGAGGTACCCAAGAGGCTGCAATGCAATCTGTTCTTTAATGTCTGCCCTCAAGCCGCCAACAAACCTTGCGACCAAATACTGCTGGCTTTCCAAAAGATTTGTTCTTGCACCCAGGTGATGGAACTCCTCCG